AATTTGTTATCATCTATATGACATGATACTGAACAATTTATGACATGATGTGATTATAATATAATATAATATAATATAATATAATATAATATAATATAATATAATGTAATGTAATATAATATAATTAATATAATATAATGTAATGTAATATAATATAATACAGTGTAATATAACACGCAAGAATCCATTAGAGAACTGGTGATTATTGATGAACGCGCGGTCTATCTTGCAGGAAGCTTTTCAGTTCGAATCCTGATTTTACCACCTAAAAGATACACGCTTCCAACAATGGCATCGTTTTGGATGACCATTGTTCAGTAGTTTAAACTAGATGAGGTTCTACTATTTCTGCTTCACCTACGCGAAAGTGAGATGGGGAAAGATGGCCGATGGATGGCTGATTGGTCGCCTGGTGCGCTTGACCCAAACAGAAAAAGTCAATGAACGTGCGAGTCAGCTTCTCTGTTGATCACAGTCGCGTACAAGCGGGTCAAAAAAGTGATACTAAGAATACAACTCATCTGTCAAGGGCGAAGGAAGGACAACCAATGAAATCTGTCTCAACGAAAACGGTTATTCCATTGGCTGTTATGTGGTCCCGTTACGTTCGGAACTGGTTCTCCTAATACTTATTGTTTCAAGCGCGAATTTATTGACTCGGAGTTTTGTGGTTCGAGCCTGACCTCTGCATCTCGCCTACTCCTGCCTAGACTTAGGCAACCTGGCAGTAACCCATCCCACATGCTTCCTTCGGATGACATGGCAGTTATAGAAGTGTAAAGGTGTTACAGGTGAACGACTTTCCGAATCTAACCAGATTTGTCTAGAAACCATCAATCTGGAACTTTGCGGTGCTCAACTTTCTTCCGTTACGTTAGGCTTTTATGCCTACTGCACTCAAGCAACTAGTCATTCAACTGATCGTGAAAGACTACCTAAACCAACGCCCATTTTGAACATCCGACTTTTCGAGAAACTCCGGTAGACGTAAGTTTACTGTAGCATTTTCCAGCAGCAAGATGACTTTGTGTCAAAGTTTGAGGAGGCAATATACCTTCTGAGAATCTCTGTCGAAGATATATCTGAACAATGGTACGGCGGCAGCGCTAATTCGGATGCCTGCGCCAGAATTCACTGACTTTGAGGCCACCTAATAGCCACAGGTTCATATTTGATGAACTGTTGTTATGTACTTTGTAATAACGGATACTACTGGTGGGACATGTGAGTAATACGTGGTATTCCGGTAGCTACGTCTCGCGTCTAATGGAAGGTGGGGTTTATTACGGAACCTGTGAAACTGCTTTGCAGTGTTCGTTCACAATCACGTGATGGTCAGTGAATATTCACGAAAGTTCAAGAAGACGCGTGAGGATATTCAGTTTTTTTTAAAATAAGGTGCATATGAGATGTTTACTTCCCCGTCGGATTGTCTGTAACCGTTCAGTTGACGTTTGTTAATAAGCGACTTCGCAGCGAAGAGCCCTCGTCTTTACACTTTTAGCCGTCGCATTGAATCATGAAGATAAGTCCACATGTACATAGTCATTTTCTTATTCAGTTGTATTTTGAATTGGAGATGGATTCAAGTTCAACTTTGAAGGTCTTAGGTGTATCTTATGCGCTCAGAGCTCGCAAATAGCTTGTGAGTAGCGTCGAGAATCGAGTGATCGTAATTGTTCGGTTAGTGAGCGCCCGTCCAAACGCAGTTGCTAAACAGGACTTTGTTACCAATCGATATATGTCTGATAATACAGGACAGTTCACCTGTTGCGGCAAATGTTTCGCATTCCAGATTAAAATGCAAATAAATTTGTTGGCAAAACTGCTTTTCTCTGCCACGCAGGGCAAATGTTTCGCATTCCAGATTAAAATGAAAATAAATTTGTTGGCAAAACTACCAGTGCTGCTTTCCTCTGCCACGCACTTTAATTGACAAGCGAAATTCGGTGCCCTATGAATGTTGCATCACGGTCGGTTTAGCATGATTTTTTTATACATCAACCGACTCCACGAATTTGTTCGTTTCTATCGGAGCTGGAATCGGATAACATCCACACGTCAGTCATATTCCAACTTTGTTCCGTCAAGCGTCACTACCACCCTCCATTTAAAAGGCCTCGGAACTCAGTTTTCACACGATTAAGTTGTTGACACTTCCGCTCTGGCAAGCATCTATGTGTCCACTAGCAAGCATGGGAAAACAATCATGCCTGTCCCCCACCCCTACCGGTTACTTCGGTGGCCAGCGTGAGCGGACTGATTGTTCGAGCCGGGCAAAGTCGCATGCAGTGCGGGAAATGATGACGATGCCGACGTATGATCCGATCGATAGGCGCGGCCGATTGTTCCTGGCCGCTCGCATCAAGTGAATGAATCCACTAACAAAATCAGAAAATTACGCAGAGGTTCCGTTCTATAAGCCCACTACCAATGCAAGAAACGCAATATGCTGCACACAGAAGCGAAACACTGAATCTATGGAAATATGCCTTGAAAGCTTCCCAACAACTCATGTCGTCAAGTCTGGATGTTGTCCTACTTATGCCCTATTTAGTTTACGGTTTCCTGGAATCACATTGAGCTATTCAAGGAATATTTAATGGTATCATTTGGGTAATTTTGGAAACTATCGGAGACGATTTGTTATCCTTTGATGAAAGCCAGGGCGTCTGAAGGAATGAAGAGTTCTTGCATGTGCGCAAGACACATGCACCCTTCTGTGAGATGCCTGCCGATTACTCGCACCATGGAACTGCACACGCACGCACATGCACGCACACACATGCATGCACGCACACACATGCACGCACACACATGCACGCACGTACAAAAGCAAATTCACTCAAAATGCACTGCACGAGTGGTTATCTGTGTGCTTTCGTGGGTGTCACAGACGGGCCCTCAGCAAGTGTTAATTGCTAGTGTTATTCGAGGCGACTGGATAGTCCAACCTGATGCAAATTCTGTGACTTTCAAACCAAAATCAGTCGCGTTTCTCCTATCCAGCGTTTCTCACACAACTGATCCAGAAAATAGTTCGTGAGAAAGCCAGCCGCACAACATGAGAACCTTAGTTGTGACCAGGGCGTTAGAAGACTTCCGATTGACACATGTAGTGGCAACCTGAATAAAAATTATCTGTTTTCTGCTCCTTATCCAGCGTGTCGCGTGTAGGTGAAGAGGAATCAAATACATGGCTGGATCTTCTGATATAAAATCACTGAACGTGATTATTTTTGGTCACCTCTCCTCTGGATCTCTACCGCTTATCTCAGTTTGCTATGAATTCATTAACCGAGCATGATAACGTCAGACCCGTCTTGATACGCGGTCATGTAGTTCACATCAGAGTTAATCGGGAGCAAGTTACCAGGAGAATGGCCGCGTGGTGTTATTCGGCTTCCGATATATTCCAGCTGAAGAAAACCACAAACGTGGGATTCAACTGGATTCAGTTGAGCCTCCCGTGAGCAACAAACTGGTGTGCGAATGAGTGTATCACGTGGATCTTGTACCATTTTGGCTCATGCGGAACATAAGGTTGACGAAGACTCGGGGATCGAGCCTAGCCGATGAGCCCCAAGAAGAGCAAAACTGGTCGTGGGCTGTCCAAAAGTTTCAGAAATCTTGCAAGTAGTGTGTACAATGTATCGTGACATCTCGAACATGGTGCCAACTGAAACATGAGGCGTCCTGTTGCAGCACACTCAACTGCTTGGATGAGCCTATTTCGCTAACTTCGTGCAATTAGGATTCAAGTAGAACATGAGGTTGACAAAACTGTGGGACTGAGCCTTGCCGATGAGCCCCAAGAAAAGTGGATGTAACCGGTTGCGATCTGTCGAACACGATTTGGCCAATCATGTGTAATTTCACTGAAGGAAGTATACTGCGATATGGCACCAACTGGAACTTGAGGCGGACTCTGTGCAGCACCTTCCGTTAAAGAAAACCATAGCCAAGTGATTTAACTGGGATTCAGTTTTTTAACCTTGGTAAAACAAAATTTGACAGCGCAAGCATTCCAACCTCAAATTTACCACAACCTGAAAGAGATAGAGTTTTGCGACCAAAAAAGCTGAATGGATGGATGCTCTGGGAAAAGAATGCTCGTGAAATCACCCCAAGGTATAGGAATGAGTTTCCATTCATTTTACGGCTAGGATGGCCGTAGAAGCCGATCTTCTAGATCATAGCAAACTGAAAACCAAGTGTACCACGCTCGATGTGATCGAGGAACCTCTAGGAGAGAAAACCCAACCAAACTGGAAAAAGGGGTACTCCGTTGTGAACGACCTTGACGCAGTGGGAGTCATGGATACCAAACAAGGTGAGAAAATGAAGCAAGCAGCCTCGATGTGAGTTCCGTTCATTCCAGGGTGTTCTGCGGGCACTTACCCAGAACGCGGTTGAAACAGTTTCTGCAGGCTTCAGCACCACTTGACTTCATTTCGCCGAATTCAGCATACAAGTGGAAGTTAGACAGTGTCAGGTGACTGAGGCAACTGCAGTTCACAATGATGTTTTGTCTCAGTTTTCATGCACACTACGCGGTTGTATAACCGAGTAGCCAGCACCTCTTGATTTCCTCACAACCAGAAACATGTTACAACCACGTTCGAAACCGGGCTTCACAAGGTTTCAGAATGGCGAAGCATAGGGAACTTCCTTCGGCCTCTGAACTTTCCGGGATACATCTGGTATTGCTATTATTCTATTTCGTCTGATAACTTGATATTCTTTTTTGCTGGATCTACCGCATTCCACAGTAATCAGTAGATCCCACATACAATTGGTAAAACCAGCGATGAAAGCAAAACGACACCTTTAGTTTCATAAAGAAAACTACTCACAAGGTTGCTGAAAACTCTTCGACAGCCCTTCTCGGGTCACATCAGGTAGGCGTAGTCCCCGAGTTTCCGTCAACCTTATGATCTATTTGAACCATTTATGAAGATATACTGCGATATCTCGAATATCGTGCCAACTGAAACATGAGGCAGCCTGAGTGCAGCACATTCAGTTGTAGAATACCATAAACGAGAGATTCAGTTTAGTCTCCCGTGAAAACCAAATTGATTTGCAAATGATTTGCAATGATTTGCAAATACCGTAGTCTGAACTATTCACACCTGGGTAGGTCTGTAGGCTTATTTCTGCCTTGATTAGGTGGCATAATAGATGTCGACTTGTTCGCTGAGGTAAGCGAAGCGGCCAAAAGCGCTTTTTGTCACTAATCTAGGTCAACCACTCAGGGTGCCTCGACCTAGAGAATCCGTGCAGTGAGTCAATGTATCCCGCACTAGATACCACTGACGCCCAATCATGATGGGCTGTTCAGGTGATCTGCTCTGTTGGCTGATGCTGATTGGTTTGTTTGTTTCATTAGGCATTCATAAACGCTAAGATGAACACTGATGTTGTTTTGACTCGTTTCCGGGATTTCCAGCCAACCGATTCGCTGGATCGGTAGTCGTCAACCCAGGTTTTTGTTCTTTGTATCGCCAAGGCGACGTCCTTGATGAATCGGCCAGTCGAAGTGGGCACAAACTGCGCATTACCACACTGAAAAATCCAGCACCAAAATCAAGACATCCACTATACTAACAGGCTAAGTGACAGACACCTCCAGAAACAATCACCTGGAGACTATCAAAACAAGGAGATTTGGATGAATTTCACCTGAGTCTTTCGTCAAAGTATTAACTTGTAGGTGAGTAGCTCCCACAACCAGCATAGTATTGTTCACGTAGGAAAGAGCGGTGATGGAGAATCAGGGGCTAGACATGTCTGATGGGCTTCAAAAACGACGATGATGGAGATTCTTCGTGTCAACAGGGTTGCTATTCACTAGCAAAATGGATCATTTTACATCTGCTCCTTTTACTGCGTGAGCGAAACTACAGAAGTAGAGATGACCCAAGGTAACAAGACTTGGGTAGCCCGCCGTTCCCAATTGTAACGACGCCCACGTGCGTACGCAGTCATGTTCACGGCTAAACTGATGATTGGTTATGAATACAAGTCGTGAGGCGAACTGCATCAGGTTGAAGAGTGATGTTCACTCGGACGATGATGGAGATTCTTCGTGTCAACAGGGTTGCTATTCACTAGCAAAATGGATCATTTTACATCTGCTCCTTTTACTGCGTGAGCGAAACTACAGAAGTAGAGATGACCCAAGGTAACAAGACTTGGGTAGCCCGCCGTTCCCAATTGTAACGACGCCCACGTGCGTACGCAGTCATGTTCACGGCTAAACTGATGATTGGTTATGAATACAAGTCGTGAGGCGAACTGCATCAGTTTGAAGCGTGATAAGTGTTCACTCGGTAGTTAGTCTTCAAACTACAACCTTGCATCTGGACGCTAGCAACCTGAACTCAGGCATGTAGACCATCACGCGTCGGAATGAATTGTGCAAAAGCCATGTGTCACTTGGCATTGTCCCTTGTAGAGTCTTTGGATCTTTTCCAGATAAGCCCCGCCACTAATGCAAATAGTGCATTTGCGAAAAGTTAAGCCCCGCCACTTTTTGCCAGCTGCAATCTGAGGTACGCACACAACCTTGTCCTATTCTTGATGAAAACAATTCCTTATCCGCATCTAGGCTTATTTTGGGCAAAAGTTTTCTCCGTTCAAACGTAAAACCTTAAACGAACTTTCTAATGCTTTCAACTCCCGTTCATGACAAGGAGACGGCAATACGTTTTTTGCAAAGCCACGGAGTGATCCATCAGCAGCGTTTACACAACAATGGCCACCAAATGAGACTTTCAACTGTTTTGACAGGTGGAGGTGTAATGCCCGACAGTGTCGAAGATGGAGTTTAGGACAGTAATTCTATTCATTTAGTGCTGGTAAAAATCAAATTCTGCTCCAAGGAATTATCTATTAGCCACACGACCGTTGTTGACTGGAAGAACTTTCTTCGCAAAGTTTGTGCCTGGCGGCTTTTGCAGACTCCGAAAGCTTTGTGGATCCAATGACTGGAGTTCACACATGAACCATCGACTCACTTTCACACGTCTACAAGATGCAGAATAAACACCAATGCGGTGCACATCAATCTTCAGTGGACAGCTACTTGTGTGAGTTCGTTTGGACGCAAAGGCACCGAAAAACGGACCTTTTCATGCAAACTGATAACGATATGTTCCAATTTCACCCTCTTCAATAAAAACTAAAAGCACAAATTTCATATCCTCTTTTTTCTAATCTTTTTTTGGGTGGTGGGGTTTAATTTTTTGGCGGGACTTATCTGGAAAAGATCCGGGTTTTTCGTAGAACTGTCTAAACTAATTCCTCAAATTCAGCCGGATACACTTTATTCCTTCAAGGAACTTAAGAGCTGTCCCACAGGAAATTCAGAAATGCCACCAAATGTCAGATGCTCCCTATTAGGGAGTTGTACGGTACGGTCTCATGTCCAGGTGACTAAACCCCTGCGAGTCGGTTCTGGTGCCATGTTCTACCAACAGCCTTCGTGTGTATTTATTCATGTGTCAAGCATCTTACGTTGGTCGTTTGACAGAATACGAGAACACTCTTCCTTATCTCTGAGTGGTAGATGGATGAAACCAGGCTCGAGTCCAAGGTCGATATCATCGACGAAGATCAAGCCTTTGCTATCATATACCGGGTACGTCTGAACAGGTCAAGATTGGTACGATCCAGACTACTGTCGATCACAGAGGCAATTAGAATCTAAAAGAAATTGTGCGACCTGTAAACTTGCAATCACCAGCGAAACATCCGGTTCCACCAGCCTGTCTAACAACAACGTCACTTGTTTGATTCCATGACTCATTGAGCCACCCTCAGTCAACTCCCCTTCCTTTGATTTCTATTTCATTAAAGTGCATGTAGCCATGACTTTAAACTTTTTCACGTGATTTGTGGTGCCATCTTAATTTTGTGATGCATTAAACAAGAGGAACAGTCACAGAAAACCAGCTTTTTTTCGCCACCTTCTTTCTTTTCATGATTCTGGTGTCCAACCGCTTTCCGTTAGTCCGCGAGTTAGTGGGATTAGTGTGATCCTCACCGCCGACAATTCTCAGTAGCACGAAGATGAAACAGTCATATTACTCTTCTTGAATTTTCCGCTTCTTGCCGAATACCAATCAGATGAAAATGAGTTGATTTTTAAAGCTATATAACCGTGAAAGAAAACATAGGGCGAAATTCAAAAGAAAATGGCAGCTTGTGACGTCCAAATGGTTCTCCCAAGTTTTTCAGTTGTTTAAACGAACTGAATAGCGGCTTTGAACGACATTTCGAACACCATTTGGTGCTACTTGTGATGACCGTTCTTCTATTGAAGAGAAGACATTAGCACTCGTCTCAGGTTTGATACACATGAGAGTGAAAGATGGATGAATTTGTTGAATTATTCATCGCAGCCAATGGATCAACCCAGGAACAAACAGACAAGCCAGATCAATACACCTGCGCGCATCTTGTTGTCCGCGATTCACGATTTACGGTAACCACGAGCAATCATTTCCATCGACACTTTGGTTCCAATTCCATCATAGTGGTGTCGTCGGGTCGAGATGTTTTATTGGTTCTGCTTTGCATCTTAAAGAGTCGAGAAAAACACTGCCTGTGTTGAATCATCCTCGACCCACACGAGAGGCACGTGACATACATGATCATCACTCATCGCCAATGAGCCAAGCCAATAGGCTTTTTCCTCCTGTCAAGGCAAGGAAACGGGAGGGATCCTGACATTCAGACCGAGAACCCAGGCAATTATTGAACATATCCAAAGAAATACGAACCAATCGGACAAAAATATCAGTTCAATTTTCAGGTATACATTGTGTGTCAAATGTAGATTGTTCGCGAAACCCTAGGATGGACATTGCATGTTTGGACGATGGCAGCATTCGTGCTGCACAAAAATCCAGTTGAACCACCCTCCCCATTCTAGAATGGATGAATGCAAAACTAGGTCTTTTTTTGAGAATGTCATGACAGCTACGGTTTTTTTCCATCGTCTAGGATTCACCGTCACTCAAGTATTCGTGTATTACTTAGTCAGTACAGTTATGCACCAACTCGCGTTCCATGCTTCCCTACTTTTTTTAACCGGTTCACTGAAACCCCGTCTGCTTTCGTCACTGAAATTTAACTAATTATCAGATATTTATTGGCCTTGGAAGGAGCTGTCAGTGCCCTTTGAATTTTATATCATATTCTGCGCATGTTGACTCTAACTGGCTTATACATGCTCTCTATTGAGATCCGTTTCATAGAGCATAAAGGCCTGACTTTTTGAAGATAAGAACCTGGATCCTGGAGTTACTTGTCCAAAAGTTTCGAGTAGCTTTCAAAGGCGTTTTGTTGTGGACCACGGTCCCTTAATGCCTTCTTATTACCGTGAACCCCGGTCTGGGTTGCCGCCTGATCGCCTGGTGCGCTTAACCAAACCAGAAAAAGTCAATGAACGTGCGAGCCAGCTGATCTATTGATCACTGTCGCGTACAAGGGGTCAAAAAAGTTATACTAAGAATACAACTCATCTGTCAAGAGCGAGTGATGGACAACCAATGAAATCTGTTTCAACGAAAACGGTTATTCCATTGGCAGTTATGTAGTCCCGTTACGTTCGGAGCTGGCTCGCCTAATACAACTCAAGATGCATGTGCTAGGATGCACAAATCACTGCTCTCTGATCCACCCTACCACAAATAGTGCTTACTTAATTGGCTGTCACCCTCGACCATCATGCAAGTAGTTACCGCATCACACAGCAAACTAGTATGTGCATTACTTGTCTGGGTTAAACCATACATTTGTAAATTCACCTCCGTTATACCGACAGTCATTATAACGACTCCACCGTCCCTTGCTACATGTACGTGGAAGAATATCTCCGTATGCCATCCGCTCTATGAAACCGCCAGACCGTACTAGCCAATACGCGTTTCCGTGACGATATCTTTGTCGTGGTGACACAAAACGGCAGGTAGAAAGATCCCACTTCACCTACCGAAGCCACGAAGGCAGATTACACCATCATCACCCCATTGCCCATAGTATGCAACATTATCATGTTACTATTCATTAAACTCGGGAGCAGGTAAGAACATCTCAGAGAGTATGCAACCGCAATAGCACAATTGGGTCTAGCGAACTACACTCATTTGCGCACCAATTTGGTTTTGACGGGAGACTCATGACCCCAATTCATCTGCTTACTCCGCCCATGTACATTTTATCTCCACTTGTACCCACCAGTCACCTTGCCCCAAAGGGCATCCCGTCCGACACTGGTCTACTAGTACTTGTGTGAATGTGCGCAGCCGACCCGTTCGATGAGTCTGCCCTGGCTCGTTGTCATGGTTTCCTTGTAATCGCACTGCCAATCAGCATTGCGAGAATGTCTTCGGAAGGAACGACCGCAACCCATACCACTGAGCCAACATTCCACTCGCCGTTGTTTGTAGTCAGTACAGTTATGCACCAACTCGCGTTCCATGCTTCCCTACTTTTTTTAACCGGTTCACTGAAACCCCGTCTGCTTTCGTCACTGAAATTTAACTAATTATCAGATATCTATTGGCCTTGGAAGGATCTCTCAGTGCCCTTTGAATTTTATATCATATTCTGCGCATGTTGACTCTAACTGGCTTATACATGCTCTCTATTGAGATCCGTTTCATAGAGCATAAAGGCCTGACTTTTTGAAGATAAGAACCTGGATCCTGGAGTTACTTGTCCAAAAGTTTCGAGTAGCTTTCAAAGGCGTTTTGTTGTGGACCACGGTCCCTTAATGCCTTCTTATTACCGTGAACCCCGGTCTGGGTTGCCGCCTGATCGCCTGGTGCGCTTAACCAAACCAGAAAAAGTCAATGAACGTGCGAGCCAGCTGATCTATTGATCACTGTCGCGTACAAGGGGTCAAAAAAGTTATACTAAGAATACAACTCATCTGTCAAGAGCGAGTGATGGACAACCAATGAAATCTGTTTCAACGAAAACGGTTATTCCATTGGCAGTTATGTAGTCCCGTTACGTTCGGAGCTGGCTCGCCTAATACAACTCAAGATGCATGTGCTAGGATGCACAAATCACTGCTCTCTGATCCACCCTACCACAAATAGTGCTTACTTAATTGGCTGTCACCCTCGACCATCATGCAAGTAGTTACCGCATCACACAGCAAACTATTATGTGCAGTACTTGTCTGGGTTAAACCATACATTTGTAAATTCACCTCCGTTATACCGACAGTCATTATAACGACTCCACCGTCCCTTGCTAAATGTACGTGGAAGAATACATCCGTATGCCATCCGTTCTATGAAACCGCCAGGCCGTACTAGCCAATACGCGTTTCCGTGACGATATCTTTGTCGTGGTGACACAAAACGGCAGGTAGAAAGATCCCACTTCACCTACCGAAGCCACGAAGGCAGATTACACCATCATCACCCCATTGCCCATAGTATGCAACATTATCATGTTACTATTCATTAAACTCGGGAGCAGGTAAGAACATCTCAGAGAGTATGCAACCGCAATAGCACAATTGGGTCTAGCGAACTTCATTCATTTGCGCACCAATTTGGTTTTGACGGGAGACTCATGACCCCAATTCATCTGCTTGCTCCGCCCATGTACATTTTATCTTTGTACCCACTTTGCGCACCAATTTGGTTTTGACGGGAGACTCATGACCCCAATTCATCTGCTTACTCCGCCCATGTACATTTTATCTCCACTTGTACCCACCAGTCACCTTGCCCCAAAGGGCATCCCGTCCGACACTGGTCTACTAGTACTTGTGTGAATGTGCGCAGCCGACCCGTTCGATGAGTCTGCCCTGGCTCGTTGTCATGGTTTCCTTGTAATCGCACTGCCAATCAGCATTGCGAGAATGTCTTCGGAAGGAACGACCGCAACCCATACCACTGAGCCAACATTCCACTCGCCGTTGTTTGATGTGAGGACCTTGAGACTGCACCGTGCCGGTCAGTAACAGACAGGTGCACATTGTGGCGTCACAGACGTATACAAGTGGAGTTTGTAAAGAGTACCGTTCGAACCCGTTTGATATTCATGATCGTCAAACCTACGCGTGGCTCGAAATTCTCTTTTGAGAACCTCAACAAGCACCACCATATATCCAAGCGTTGGTCGCAGTATAAATCATCTAGTCACTTTACTGACCGGTCCATCAAACGTAAATTCAACTCTATCCTTTATGACTTAAAGCTGGCCTCCTCGTTGCTAAATCTTGTTGGGCCAATGACAAGTACTTCGATATGGTAGAACACGATCCGTCTAGAACGCATTCTGGCCTTTGTACAGCACATTCAGGTGAGGGATATCCTCTGAGTTGTCCCCAACCTAGTATGTAACGAGTTTCCAACTCCTTCAACGTATGATTTGGAGTTCAGTTAGGTGGTAACTAAATGATGAGGTCCAACAAGCGAGGGACCAACAGAAGATCATCAGAGAGTTATCTACGATTACTATAATAGTAAAACTGTCAAGAGAAAGGCCACTAGCTTGCAACAGTTATATGGTTCCTTGTCTAAAAATACTTCCTTTTGCAAAAGGCATGTGAAGGGATATTTACTCCGTGGTTATGTGGCTCTCTCTAATGCCGGGAACTTATTGACTACGAGGTCCGTGGTTGGAGCCCAATCACTGTGGCCTGAAGCCCAACTTCGCGACTCTTTCGGTCTGAAATTAGTCGACCTGAGAGCATCCGAAACTTCATGTTGCTAGCAATGAATAAGCACCATTTCGGATGCAACGCGTGACCACCACAAAACAACGCAATCAGGAACA